GAAGTGAAAGCAGGGGAAATGCTGCAGTCTGGAAGCATCTGCAAGCCCAGGACAAATTCTTGCCTCTAACTTTATTCTTACTCTGTGTCCTGTTACTGCATTTTCAGTACTACTTTTGTTCACTTCCAGAAGGCTGAGTAGTTTTGCTTGTTTTGTGTCTTGCTATCAGCCTTGCTTGTGATCACCGTTTTCTGTTGGTCAAGACATCATCCTCCTTCCTTTCTGGAATAATTTCTCCTTCCCTGTCTCTGTCTGCACCGTTGTTACAATTACTGTATTTAAAACAACAAATGCTTTTTAGTGGTGATGTGTCATGTTCCTAATGGAGGCGTGTTGTATGTTGAACAGACAGTGGAGACGAGCTATTTGGCCTATGGGTGGGATGAGTTTCCTTTTATCTAGAATGAGGAATAACCTGATGGAGAAGGGAGGTAGCATGGGTGAATAGGATAGAATTTGTCGCTACTGCTTTCTGGTGCAGTCTGAGAGTCTTCATCCAACTGTCTCTGCTCCTTACTAAATGATACGTCAACAATAAATGTTGCAACATATATGGTCCTTTTTTGTTTTGTGCTGCTTCAGTCCTCTAGAATTGCCTAAACCTTTCCTCATGTTTGCTTAAAATTCAGCCCACTGTTTTTTGAAGGAGATGCCAGCTGAGGTGAGAGTCTTGCTCATAGTGGACAGCTTTACAAACCACAACATCTGGCTGAGGTGTTTTATTTTTTGTTTGGGTTTTTTTTTTTTTTTATGCTGGTCTCAGCAGAGAAGTTGAAATGTGAATGTTTAAGAGTCATTGATAACTGATAAAGTTTTTGAGTGGGTATTAGATGTATAGTCAGAAATACGATGAACCTTACTAAATGACGTAGTTTATTAGTAATAACGTTAGAAACCGAAAAGAAAGCATGAAAGAAACTATCTGAACAAGCACATGATCCTGTGACTTCATAGTTATCTTTGAAGTTATATATGAAGTAGTATTGTATTACTATTGTATTCTCTGGCCTTCCTCTCCTGTTTCCTTCTGGCTGCCTGTGACCTTCATTTGTTGCATGAAATGCGTGCTTTTTCTACCCAGATTTTTTTTCTGACTTATGAGTGTCTGTCACGGTATGATTGTGTTCCAGTTACAGAATCTGTGTTAACTTTAAGATAGACTCAGATTCCAGAGTTTTAAATTGTTTTGTGGAGAACTGGAGGAGGGGAAAAAAAAACCCACCTGATTTTTTAAAACAGCATGTAGCATGCTTGTTCTGGAGCTCAAAGACCAGTCAATATGGAGCCTTTGAATTTGTAGACATTCTTTACAGTCAAACCCTGATTATTTTCTGTGGGTAGGTTAGCTGTTGAGGTACATAAATGCTGTGTTTCTTTGCAGAGTGTAAACATTGTATTGATCTGATTTTCTTTTGATAGGTGTTGCCTAAATTACTGTAAGCCTTCGCTAATCTGATGGTGAAAAAGAAATGAGATACAGTGTTTGAGTATCATAAAGTTGTCTTAATAATATCAACTATTCACCTTGTTGCAAGCCTCACTAGGGCTGGTGTGGAAACGTATGGCACTCATTTTGGGGTTTTGTTTAATGCTTCGTTGGTACAGTTTTCTTCAAGTAGGTCGTTCCGGATTGCTGCAGCAGAAAATTTTCACTTGTTTTTATTTCAGTGACAATACTGGAGTTGGTTCAAGAAAATGTATTTTAACTGCTAAAACTCATCTTACTTATAAATCATTTCTCCTTGAGAGGACTGCATCAAAAATAAGAATTTAGATCTTGGACTGCTGTCTCCCTAATTCACTTATCTTTGGAGGGCTTCTTCCTTCTCAACATAAGTGGAAAGAAACGGCAAAAACAGTTTTGTTAAACACAGGAAAGGGGCGAATATCTGTTCAAACTTCATTTGAAAAGTCAGTGGAAAACTTGAATGCCGTGCTGCACGTTTTCAAAGCCAGCTGTGTCTTATGTACTACTACTTGCTTATAGTGCTTAACAACTAATATTGGTGGGGGAGAAAGATCTTACAGGTGTATCTATGCTAGGGAGTGTAGCGTATTGAAGATTGAGTTGACATAGACCGAGCTACCACAAGCAGTCTGTCAGTAGCATCACGCTGCAATGCAAACTTACTCTTTTCCCTCACCATAAATTTCTAGTAAATCCTTGAGCAGCTGTGACAAACTGCTGCTAGTAACTCAGACTGTTTTAAAAGTAATTTCTTCTTACGTGTCATCTTCAGCTTTGGTCAAATCTACATTCCAGTTACGCTTTTGCATTTACTGAATTTATTTAGGTTCTTGGTGCAAGTTGGCGAGACTATGTATGTGCAGTTAGCTGAAGTTGGTGGTCATCAGCTTGAGCAGCAAAGACCTGACTCCTTTTAAACGGACTGAAAAAAAAATATATAGCCTGGTTTGATCCTCAGTTTTTGAAGGTGTTTGTAATCTGTGGATTACAAACATCATAAGAAAAAAAAAAAAAGTGACTCTTCCCTTTTCTAGTTTCTGGTCATCTGCACTTCAGGCGCTTCTAGAGCTAGAACTTGGATGCTTCTAGTTTATTTAAGAGCTGTATTTCTTTTTGTCTTTGGCCATAGAGCCTAGGGTGAAGGGTGGCAGGAGGAGACAGAGGGAATTAGGCCTGCGTCCAGTATCAAAGATGTGAACATGCAATTTAGGTAAACGGTAACAAAGCAATGTTTTCTGTTCTTCTCAGTTCCTCTTCTAATACTCCTGAGCATTCTGTTAGCAGAATGAAAAAGTCTGATGAGCACTGAGCTTATGGTTTCATCAGGCTGTCTACAGTGACCACTCCTGAGTGGCATGAGCTAATTTATGTAACCACAATAGTTTTCACTAGGAACAAGCAGATACTGTAATTTCATTACTTTCTATTTAATGACATTTAGGGGCAAAATGTCAACTGGAGATCAATCAGTATAGATCCCTTTCTGAATTCTTTAATCCTTTCTTAATACCAAATCCCCTGGATAGAAAAGTATCTCCTGCACATTTTGTCATCTTCTTATTCACAACCTTGTCATGAAGACGAGCAGCACAGATCTCAACACTGATTGCTGTGGGATTCCGCTGGTAACTTTACTCATTGTGAAAAATGGCCATTTATCTTTATCCTTTGTTTCCTCTCTTAACCAATTTTTAACCCTCAAGAGTCCCTTCCTTGTTATCCTTGACAATTTAGGTTTTTTGAGTGTTTATTTAGGCCTGTTGAAAACTTTGTAGAAACTCCATATACCTTGCCTGTAAGGGAAGCACTATAGCAAGAGCTTATGGAAACTATAGCAAGAGCTTATAGAAACCTTCCAAGAATTCTGCTACATTTGTGAGATTAATTCTTTTCTGCAAAAAGCATATTCCTCATTATGTATCTGCTAGTTGCTTTTATTATTATTGCCTTCATTTTGCCCAATACTGAGGTAAGATTTAGTGGTATGTAGCTCCTCTTAAATCTCTCGCCCATTGGGATCCCTGTTTGCCACCTTTGATTTGTCATTATTCACACACTTTTTCATCCAAGAGCTGGTTTATGTTGCTGCATTGAAGAGTTAACCATTCATTTCATAGAGTTGCTTTCAGAGTCAAGTGAGTGACCCCTGGTCCTGGTCCTGTCCAAAGGGGAGGAGGAAGAAGGCAGGAGAGCCATAAAATATGAGTTTTGCTACTTTCTGTTGTGAAAAAATTGCACAATAAAATAGAAATAATTCATGCTTCTAACCACTATCTTCAAAACCAACCACTGTGTTAGAGAGGTTGGAGGCAGCATGATTTTATTGGGTTTTTTAGAAAGCTTTGGAGGGTCTTCGAAGAACAGATCACCAAATTTTCCAACACATGCAAGTTTTGGGAAATACCTGCTTTATAACTTCATTTGCTGTAACAAAGACTGTCACTAAACTGTTCATGTAATTTTAATGTGTGGATTTCATATGTGGAAATTCCTCGATGCAGTTTAGTTCTCCTCTCCCACTCTTGATGACACTAACAGTGTTAAGCTGCTTTTAGCAAAGGTGACCTTTTCTTTCCATTTATCTGCTACTTACATTTATTTTTACTTCTTCACAGCATAGAAAAATGGCAGTTTTCCTTATAAGATATCGACTCTTCTGCTATTGGAAATTTTTGGGTAGCAGTTTTTTTAATTCAGCTGATTCCTTATCAGGAAAAACTGTCCTGTAGCCGAGAGACTTGTTACTGAAACAGGATAGTGTGAGTGTGTGTGTGTTAGGTGGGAATTATTTTATGTTTGCTTGAAAGGAAACACCTACTGCTCCGGAGAAAGGTGTGAGGAAATAGGGAGAGAGACAGTAGGTGTACAGATGTGCCATAATAGCTCAAAGTAGACTTTGTAAACTAGACTCAAGACCTTAAACAAGAAGATAAGGTTGATGCAGCATATGCTTTGCTTTCTTACCACTCTTACTGAGCCTTTATTTACAAAGAAAAGAGAAATGCTCGTATACTTTCTGGGAGTAACAATGAAGGCAAAGAATGCTTATTAATGACTTAGAGCAAAACACTGTATCAGTTTGTGGGGTTTTTTCCTTCCCAAGAAAAAAATTTAAATGAAAAAAATATAGGGCTGTGGTTGAAACTAAACTTTTGCATATGTATTTATATATTTATTACAACAATCGTGATACATGAAAGACTGTAACTTCTTAAATCGAATTGCTTACGCTTTTTAGAGAGCTTATTTGGGACATAAACACTGTAGCATTATGATATTGCTACAGGGCATGTATTCATCAGTGTATCTGTATTCATTTATCTATTTAGAGCACATCAATCCTGTGTGTTTTCCCAAGCTATAATGTACCATTTGGTGTGTGACCCTCTCCATTACTGATTATGTCTGCCTTCTTGTTGTTGAATGCATCTTAATCTGTGAAAATGATGAGTCATTTTTACTGAGAAGGTGTTTCACTTTTTTCTGGGTTCTGATGGATGTCTATTGAGTTACTGCTCTTTTGCAGGTGAAGTGGATGATGTACTGGATTGTATTTGCCTTTTTCACCACTGCAGAAACACTCACAGACATTGTTCTTTCTTGGTGAGTTCCTTGGCAGCGTGTGGTGGGTTTTTTTTGTCAGTTGTTTTTCTTTAAGAAGGAGAGGAGTAGTGTTAGGATGCTAAGAATAAAATGTCTCTCCTTTAGTAGTGTTCAATCCCTATGAAGAGTCTGCGAGTTTGTAGATACTGTGGATAGTAGCTGCTATCTTAGCTGTTTCTTATCCTATACTTGCAAACAGTTAAGATAAATACACAGTATCTGTAAGAGGATCTTCGTCCGTTCATAAGCTAAAATATTTTTTAGCAGCTGTGATAAAGTTTGAGAAATGGTGGTCTAAAAGACGCTTAAAAAAAAAAAAAAGGGGAGAGAAAGAAGGGACCAGTTTTGCTTTGCGAGCCTGTTGTGTGGAGGAGCAGATCAGAGTCATGTCTGTGCTCCGAGTGGTGTTTTGCATTAAGAATTTGTCTTCCATTAGTGGGGGTGGCGTGGAGTGGAGTCGGGGGAAGCAGATTCTTAATCGTTTCAGTGCTGTGTGTCATACTTGGCAATATGGAGGCCTCCAAAAATGGCAATTAATCATTACATGTCTTCAACTGAACTTTTGCAGCCAGGTATCTTCAGTTTCTTTGTTGCTTTAGTGTTTGAGCTTTGCATACATCTCTCAAAGAATACTAGTCAAGAGTCGCATCTTTTAAAGAAATGTGAAATGGCTACACATGCCTTACAAAAGTGCTCAGCAGTTTTGCCTCTTCCTGCATAAACTTTGAAAAGCACACAAAGATCTAAAAAGTGCAAGAGCTTTGGGTTGTTCATGTACTTAAAATGGACCACTGAAAATGGAAGTCTCTTACTACTAATAGAGGCAGTAGTTTACATTCACTTGTTTCAATCTCTGCTACTGTGTCTTCCCAGAGACTTTATTGGATAAGGGTTAGAGACGAAAGACTTACATGCTCTTTTTCGTTTACACTGATCCTCCTTTTGTGTCTTATATGAGGAGTACCTACTGGAAGTTTCAGAAACTGAGCCATCAGCCTTAGCAGGGACTTGATATTTATTGAGATACATAGTTGAAAACTTTAGAAAATGAGAGGGAAACTAATGTAATATTAAGATCCAGTGGATACTCTCTGAACAAACTTCAGAATGATGAGAGTAGCTATCAGATTGTAATTTGGTGTGTTTGCAGGGCTGAGAGATGCCCTGTTTATGGAGTTTTCATGGCTATGGATGAAAGACTAAATGAGACTCGAAGAAGGTATGTCTTAGGATTCCAAAGAGGGTTCTCCTATTCTGACTTGGTATATTGATTCTTTTGTTTCTGAGCCTATGTCTTGCCTTTGCTCTTTCTGCCTGTGCTACTCTCTACCAGTTACCTCCACCTGTCTCTGTGCTGATCTTGATTCCAGTTCTCCATCTTTCTCTCTCTCTCTCTTTTTTTCTTCCCTCTTTCTCTCAGGTTTCCTTTTTATTTCGAGCTGAAAATCGCATTTGTGATTTGGCTGCTCTCCCCTTACACCAAGGGCTCCAGTGTCCTCTACAGGAAGTTTGTACACCCAACGCTCTCCAATAAGGAGAAGGTACTCGCTTGTTGTTAGAAGATACTGACCTGTCTGGGAGCTGACTGACTTCTGATTCAGTTGTGCCACAATAAAAACTGAAATGCATGAATCATGCTTGTGCTGACATTGGTGGATGTAGAATGATCCTGCCTCTGACAACAATGTAATACTGCATACTGAAAATTGTACTGTAACCGGTAGTTTGCCTAATACTTACAAAGCGTGTCCGGCTAACCCAGTGTCATGAGCCCTTATAGTCACTGTCAGCAGTTAATTTTTGAATCGTGGTAGGAGCAGCATGTTCTGTAGCCATGCCATTTTCTCACGTCGTCAGTATAAGCAACTGTTTTGTTTCGGTTGTTACAATTTGGAGATAACATACTTTAAGTAAAAGTTGCATTTGCGAGCTTTCTGTAAGTAGCAGAGAAACTGTAGTGATGTGATCAATGACAGCTGGTGCTGGTAGTCTGGAAAAAAATGTCCAGATGAGCTTTGGGTTTTTAAGGGTGATGGTGGGGAGACTTTGATAATGTTTGTAACAAGGAGCTAAATACCATGTTCCACATTGCCTTCCTAGGAAATTGATGAATACATTACTCAGGCTCGTGACAAGAGCTATGAAACCATGATGCGAGTTGGCAAGAGAGGCTTAAACTTTGCTGCCAATGCAGCAGTTACTGCAGCTGCAAAGGTAATGCAATACCTTCTGTAACGCTGAGGAATTGCCCAGCAGTTTCGTTTTGTGTGCCAGTTATTAGTGCTATGGGTCTGTTAGGGATGCTCGTACTCGTAGGTGTGAATCTGCTTTTCCTTTCCTCCGTTTTGCCTTGCAGTTAATCCCATCCTTTAACTTATGAAAAGTGGAGGGAAAGTGGAATGGATTTTGCTTCAGTCTCTTCCCTGTTGGTCTTGGGCACATACTTTTCTTCTTCCCTTCTCTGTTTGTTTTTTTTTTTTAGTGCCCTAGTGGGGAGTAGGGCACCTTTCTTCTTCTGAATGATCCCGTGTGAGATGTTCTTGATGAAGGCAAAGTGCCCTTGACCCTAATTTTTATGTCCTCTTAGGGCCAGGGAGTTTTGTCTGAGAAGCTGCGAAGTTTCAGCATGCAGGATCTCACTCTGATCAGGGATGAAGATACTGTGCTTATGCGAAGCCATGAGCCACAGCTGCACCCCACTGGTGGGAGTCTTCTTGAAACCATTGAGGATTCAGGTACAGAACACCCCTGTGGGGCCATTGTATGAGGCCTCATGTGGTGAGCCAGAGGGGGAGGAGGGGTTCCCTGGACTTTAAATGCATTGGGTCTCAGCAGGGACTACAAGATTCCAAATCATCTGGGAGACGTGGCGTTGTTTTCCCTAGTCCCTTTACATGTACTAACCCATCTCTGTACTTTTTGGATTATCCTTCTTAAGGATTGTTGACATCTCTCTTTCATGTGGTCCTTCAGGTTGGGCCATTGTAGACTTCATGTGATTTTTCAGAAGTATTTGCTAAAACTTTCTTTTATTCGTCAGCTTCCTGTTACTCCTCGGGAGAGGAGAGCAGTGTGGCACAGAGGTCTAATGGAACCCCGCTGGAGACTAGAACAGACCCATCAGATGAAGATGCAGGAGACAAACTTCCTAAACGTACCCAGAGTCTCAAAACTCCTAAGAAGATGATGAAAGCTGAGGTGAGCTGGTGTGTGTATTATTTCCAGCACAGACATTGATTTGTGAGTTCTGTTGGAAGGCTCTCATGTCATAGTCTCGGTGCATTTAAAAACTGTTTATTTAAACTTTGTTGGACTAAGCCTTTGTTAGTGAAGTTCTGCATCAGAGGAGTTGCTGTCTACTTGCTGTACTAGTCTCTAGCTTTTGTATTTTTATCATGCTTGTAAGTCTCTGTCATAGGCCAGGACCCAGCTTTGCTTTCATTTAGGTTTTGTGTTGAAGGGTGGGGCATTAAACATTTTTAGCATGTTTTGTTGACTATATCCTTTCTCCTGTCTGTTACAGTCTGAATATATAATATTGCTACGACATTTATCCGTGGGACAGCCACTTTCTCCTCATCTAAAATGCAACATTTCAGTACCCTCTTAGGCAT